CTTTCGCAGTGTTAGGATATCCTTCTCCAGTGTTAGGATACTACCGTTTTCTCCTAGTGTTAGGATACTCCTCTCCATGTTAGGATACTACTGCAGTGTTGTTAGGATACTCCTTCTCCAGTGTTAGGATACTCCTTCTCCAGCGTTAGGATACTACTCCAGTGTTGTTAGGATACTCCTTCTCCAGTGTTAGGATACTCCTTCTCCAGTGTTAGGATACTCCTTCTCCAGCGTTAGGATACTACTCCAGTGTTGTTAGGATACTCTTCTCCAGTGTTAGGATACTCCTTCGCCAGTGTTAGGATACTCCTTCCCAGTGTTAGATACTACTGCAGTGTTGTTAGGATACTCCTTCTCCAGTGTTAGGATACTCCTTCTCCATGCGTTAGGATACTACTCCAGTGTTGTTAGGATACTCCTTCTCCAGTGTTAGGATACTCCTTCTCCAGCGTTAGGATACTACTCCAGTGTTGTTAGGATACTCCTTCTCCAGTGTTAGGATACTCCTTCTCCAGTGTTAGGATACTCCTTCTCCAGCGTTAGGATACTACTCCAGTGTTGTTAGGATACTCCTTCTCCAGTGTTAGGATACTCCTTCTCCAGTGTTAGGATACTACTGCAGTGTTGTTAGGATACTCCTTCTCCAGTGTTAGGATACTCCTTCTCCAGTGTTAGGATACTACTCCAATGTTGTTAGGATACTCCTTCGCCAGTGTTAGGATACTCCTTCTCCAGTGTTAGGATACTACTCCAGTGTTGTTAGGATACTCCTTCGCCAGTGTTAGGATACTCCTTCTCCAGTGTTAGGATACTACTCCAGTGTTGTTAGGATACTCCTTCTCCAGTGTTAGGATACTCCTTCTCCAGTGTTAGGATACTACTCCAGTGTTGTTAGGATACTCCTTCGCCAGTGTTAGGATACTCCTTCTCCAGTGTTGTTAGGATACTCCTTCTCCAGTGTTAGGATACTCCTTCTCCAGTGTTAGGATACTACTCCAGTGTTGTTAGGATACTCCTTCGCCAGTGTTAGGATACTCCTTCTCCAGTGTTAGGATACTACTCCAGTGTTGTTAGGATACTCCTTCTCCAGTGTTAGGATACTCCTTCTCCAGTGTTAGGATACTCCTTCTCCAGTGTTAGGATACTACTGCAGTGTTGTTAGAATACTCCTTCTCCAGTGTTAGGATACTCCTTCTCCAGTGTTAGGATACTACTGCAGTGTTGTTAGGATACTCCTTCTCCAGTGTTAGGATACTACTGCAGTGTTGTTAGGATACTCCTTCTCCAGTGTTAGGATACTACTGCAGTGTTGTTAGGATACTCCTTCTCCAGTGTTAGGATACTCCTTCTCCAGTGTTAGGATACTCCTTCTCCAGTGTTAGGATACTTCTTCTCCAGTGTTAGGATACTCCTTCTCCAGTGTTAGGATACTACTGCAGTGTTGTTAGGATACTCCTTCTCCAGTGTTAGGATACTACTGCAGTGTTGTTAGGATACTCCTTCTCCAGTGTTAGGATACTACTGCAGTGTTGTTAGGATACTCCTTCTCCAGTGTTAGGATACTCCTTCTCCAGTGTTAGGATACTACTGCAGTGTTGTTAGGATACTCCTTCTCCAGTGTTAGGATACTACTGCAGTGTTATTAGGATACTCCTTCTCCAGTTTTAGGATACTCCTTTTCCAGTGTTAGGATACTCCTTCTCCAGTGTTAGGATACTCCTTCTCCAGTGTTAGGATACTACTGCAGTGTTGTTAGGATACTCCTTCTCCAGTGTTAGGATACTCCTTCTCCAGTGTTAGGATACTACTGCAGTGTTGTTAGGATACTCCTTCTCCAGTGTTAGGATACTCCTTCTCCAGTGTTAGGATACTCCTTCTCCAGTGTTAGGATACTCCTTCTCCAGTGTTAGGATACTCCTTCTCCAGTGTTAGGATACTCCTTCTCCAGTGTTAGGATACTACTGCAGTGTTGTTAGGATACTCCTTCTCCAGTGTTAGGATACTCCTTCTCCAGTGTTAGGATACTTCTCCAGTGTTAGGATACTCCTTCTCCAGTGTTAGGATACTACTGCAGTGTTTTAGGATACTCCTTCTCCAGTGTTAGGATACTCCTCTCCAGTGTTAGGATACTACTCCAGTGTTGTAGGATACTCCTTCGCAGTGTTAGGATACTCCTTCTCCAGTGTTAGGATACTCCTTCTCCAGTGTTAGGATACTCCTTCTCCAGTGTTAGGATACTCCTTCTCCAGTGTTAGGATACTCCTTCTCCAGTGTTAGGATACTCCTTCTCCAGTGTTAGGATACTCCTTCTCCAGTGTTAGGATACTACTGCAGTGTTGTTAGGATACTCCTTCTCCAGTGTTAGGATACTCCTTCTCCAGTGTTAGGATACTACTGCAGTGTTGTTAGGATACTCCTTCTCCAGTGTTAGGATACTCCTTCTCCAGTGTTAGGATACTCCTTCTCCAGTTGTTAGGATACTCCTTCTCCAGTGTTAGGATACTCCTTCTCCAGTGTTAGGATACTCCTTCTCCAGTGTTAGGATACTTCTCCAGTGTTAGGATACTCCTTCTCCAGTGTTAGGATACTCCTTCTCCAGTGTTAGGATACTTCTCCAGTGTTAGGATACTCCTTCTCCAGTGTTAGGATACTACTGCAGTATTGTTAGGATACTCCTTCTCCAGTGTTAGGATACTCCTTCTCCAGTGTTAGGATACTACTCCAGTGTTGTTAGGATACTCCTTCGCCAGTGTTAGGATACTCCTTCTCCAGTGTTAGGATACTCCTTCTCCAGTGTTAGGATACTCCTTCTCCAGTGTTAGGATACTCCTTCTCCAGTGTTAGGATACTCCTTCTCCAGTGTTAGGATACTCCTTCTCCAGTGTTAGGATACTTCTCCAGTGTTAGGATACTCCTTCTCCAGTGTTAGGATACTCCTTCTCCAATGTTAGGATACTTCTCCAGTGTTAGGATACTCCTTCTCCAGTGTTAGGATACTCCTTCTCCAGTGTTAGGATACTACTCCAGTGTTGTTAGGATACTCCTTCTCCAGTGTTAGGATACTCCTTCTCCAGTGTTAGGATACTTCTTCTCCAGTGTTAGGATACTCCTTCTCCAGTGTTAGGATACTACTCCAGTGTTGGAATATTTCTCCTCGTGATCAGAGAGACATTCAACTTTCAACGCTGGTATCTTCTGCTCACATAATACTTACATTATTAGCTGCCTAAGTCCAATTTTCAATAAAATATGCTATACCGTAGTTTTTCCAACAGTAATTTACTGTCAACACAAGTACTTCCCACACAGGTAAGTACTTCCCACACAGGTAAGTACTTCCCACACAGGTAAGTACTTCCCACACAGGTAAGTACTTCCCACACAGGTAAGTACTTCCCACACAGGTAAGTACTTCCCACACAGGTAAGTACTTCCCACACAGGTAAGTCTGAGTAGTCTGGGTAGTAGCTGATACTCCACTATTTATTAAACAAACGTGACTATTAGTTTCTGAAGGCTGAGATTATGTGCTGAGGAAGATAACTCAAATTACATAGCTGGAACATATTATCTCATATTTACGGGGAAAGCATTATATATAATTTAAAGTTTATTAAATAAACCATCGCTGTACTAGGGTTGTCAGGATAAGTGTTAGTAATATCTGAGGTATAAGCAAGTGCAGAGTTTAAACCAATGGTATCCTTGTTGTTGTTGTCAGAAGTCAGTGTTGACATTGGGATTTAGGACGAGGTCAGTGTTAAGATGTTGAGAAGGTTAATAGTTAATTATATGTTGTTTTTGATAGTATTGCCAATAATGATCTGGAACTCTACCTGGCAGTCAATATAGCGGCCCTGAGTGTCTCTCAACTTCGTATTCGCATGAGAGTCGTGTGTTTTATGCAAGTAGTTAAAATTTCATAACAGAGTAGTCTCCCCATACCTGCCAGTGATAGTCAGCCCCTTGAGTGAGTTTGGATAGAACACCATTTGCTCTGTAATTGGAACCAACATTGTTGACAACTGTCTAGCAGCTGATGATAATAAAAAAAAGAGCTAAACGTGCAAGGGTCATACAATCTAGGAGCTGAGAGAATGCTAGAAGAGTGTTAAGCGAGGATGACTCTGGCAGAGTGGTGATCGGAATCCACTCAAGGAGAGGAAGTACAGTTCCTTGTAACAATAGCCTCTCGCCAGGATCAACACGCCCCTCCTGGAGTTGAAGTTCAATGTGCAATAGTGAGGAGTTGCATGTGACTTGTATATCAATGGTGACACTAGTTGATGTCCTTGAATCACTATCTTGATAAACATCAAAGCACAGAGGCATCAAGGCACAGAGGCATTAAGGCACAAAGGCATCAATATAGAGGCATCAAGACACAGAGGCATCAAGGCACACAGGCATCAAGGCACAGAGGCATCAAGGCACAGAGGCATCAAGACACAAATGCATCAGGGCATAGATGTATCAAGGCACAAAGGCATCAAGGCACAGAGGCATCAAGGCACAGAGGCATCAAGGCACAAAGACACAAAGGCATCAGGGCACAGATGTATCAAGGCACAAAGACATTAAGGCACAGAGGCATCAAGATACAAAGGCATCAAGGCACAGAGGCATCAAGGCACAGAGGCATCAAGGCACAAAGGCATCAAGGCACAGAGGAATCAAGGCACAAAGGCATCAGGGCACAGATGTATCAAGGCACAAAGGCATTAAGGCACAGAGGCATCAAGGCACAGAGGCATCAATACACAGAGGCATCAAGGCACAGAGGCATCAAGACACAGAGGCATCAAGACACAGAGGCATCAAGACACAGAGGCATCAAGACACAGAGGCATCAAGGCACAGAGACATCAAGGCACAGAGACATCAAGGCACAGAGACATCAAGGCACAGAGGCATCAAGACAGTCCTCTTGATGATTACATAATTGAGGAAAGTAATTAAATAGTGAGGAGTTAAAGGAAAGAGAATTATTTAAACACACTTAATAATCTTTATTATTCTCTCCTACAAGTTAGACTCTAACTCAAGTCCCGCAGCTGGATCACTAGCGCACTCAGCTCACACACTGAGGTCCGGAGTTCGAATCTCCTCCGGTACGGCTGGAAAACATTAGGGACGTGTTTCCATAAGACATCTGCTGTCCCTGTTCACCTATCAGTATAAAATAGGTACCTGGGTGTTAGTGGACTGGTGTGGGTCGCATCCTGGGTGTTAGTGGACTGGTGTGGGTCGCATCCTGGGTGTTAGTGGACTGGTGTGGGTCGCATCCTGGGTGTTAGTGGACTGGTGTGGGTCGCATCCTGGGTGTTAGTGGACTGGTGTGGGTCGCATCCTGGGTGTTAGTGGACTGGTGTGGGTCGCATCCTGGGTGTTAGTGGACTGGTGTGGGTCGCATCCTGGGTGTTAGTGGACTGATGTGGGTCGCATCCTGGGACAAAACTGACCTAATTTGCGGGAAATGGCCAGCATAATAAGCGGCTTTCTATATAGTAGTATGTCACTGATGTCAGCTATGGTCTGTATACCTTGTACATGTACTTGTATATCTTGTACATGTACTTGTATACCTTGTGCATGTACTTGTATACCTTGTACATGTACTTGTATACCTTGTGCATGTACTTGTATACCTTGTACATGTACTTGTATACCTTGTGCATGCACTTGTATACCTTGTACATGTACTTGTAGTAAATAGAGATATTATTATACTGTGTGTGTGCTGGTAACACTGATAATCTTGTTTGTGATAAACACTAGTGCTGGTAATACTGGTGCTGACAACACTGGTGGAGATACCATTTGTGGTGGTAACACTTGTTCTGGCAACTATGTCCACGGAAATGCACAATGGTTCTGGTAACACTGTTTGTAGTAATTGCATTCATGGTTCTGGTAACACTGCTGGTGGTAATTGCATTCATGGAGAGGCGCTAAACCCACATGGGTCATACAGCGCCTGGGAGACTGGGAAGTAATGAAATTCGATCCAAGGAAGAAGAGGACAGCTACATTTCCTGCTGTGCTGGTAACACTGGTGCTGGCAACACACTGTTAGTGCTGGTAACACTTGCTCCGCTGATGACGCTCTTAATTTTGGTAACACTGTCTTCCAAGTGTTGGTAACTGGTAATAACAGTTTACTTGGTACTGGTAACATTT